GAGAGAGGGAGGGAGGGTGGGAACATGGGCCATAGAAAAGACCAAGCAGAAGCCAGGTCTAGGGTAGATGCTCCAAGAGGCCTAGACTGCCCTACGGCCATGGCTGCCTGTACCTGGTGCTGACACTGGTGCCTGAGGGTCTGCGTAGACAGGTCATAGATGGCCAAGGTCCCATCCAGGTAGCCAACAGCTGCCAGAGGCATCCTGGGTAGAGGAGAGCACCACAAAGCTCACAGAGGGACGTGGGCGCAAGTGTCCTTCACTCCTTCCTAGTCCCCCGGCCCAGGCCCCTCCCCAAGCTCAGTCCCTCTCATCTCCAGGCTGTCTCCAGCCCAAGGCCTCTGCTCACACTCACACACTGCAGAAGCCCAAGGATTCCACTGAGTTGGACTCGCTCTCCTCCCCTTCTCCCAGGTTGGGCTGGGAGGCCACAGTCTCAGGCCTGAAAACACCCACCACCTATGAGCCAGAGGAAAGGATCAGAGAAGGGCCTGGAAACTTGGTCCTCTAATAGAGAAGGAAGGCAGTGAGGCAGGAAGGCCAAGCAAAGAAGAAAGGGGAAAAGATGCAGAAAGCAGAAGGCTCCACAGCTAGGCTTCCGGTCCTACTCACCTTGCCAGTGGTGGCACTGACCAACTTGGCCTGGCAATCCACGGAGCCCGTTAGGATCAGGCTGCCATCCTGGTTGGTGGCAACACAGGTCAGAGGGCCCTGGTGACCCTCAGTCCCTAGGATGGAGCAAGGGGGATAAGTCGGACTTCACCCTGTCCCCTCTGAGTACTGTCCCAGGTCTTAGCCCCTCCCCCACAAAGGCCCAGAATAACACTTCCCCCAACTTTGATACCTTTTAGTACGTGGATAGGGTTTCCCTGCTTCAGGTCCCAAATCCGGATAGTGCCATCTTCGTAGCCGACCACAGCTCTCTTCCCTAAAGGGCCGGAGGCACAGACAGCACACTCAAAGAAACACCCAACAAGGGAATTGGGAGGGGGGGGCAGGGGGAAGAGAGGGAGACAAGAAAGTGAGGGAACAGACACTGCCCCAGGGCCCAGCAGAAGAAACCCAGTTCAGGGTGGAAAAGAGGGAGCTGTCTGATCTGGGGCCTATGAGGTCAGTGCTGAGAACAGGCTCAGAGTTTGTGGGCTCCGGCGTATAACCCTGCATCAGACCTCTCTGCATTCAAGAAAGGACCCTCAGGGTAGCTTCTCTCACCATCAGGGAGGACTCTGCCACAGGTAGCTGGGCAGTTGGGACCCTGGAAGGTCTTGCAGTCACCATTCGGGACCTTCCACATCCAGGTGTTGCCATCAGCAGTGCCTGCCAGCAGGACAGGTGCCCGAGGGTGCCACTCCATCCACTGGACAGAGAAGAAGGGTCATCAGGGAGGTCCATCACCCCATCCCAACTAGGAACCGGCCTTATGAGCCCCACCAAGCTTCCCCTGCTTCTGAGTCAGCGGGGACACTTTAGATAATGGACACAGACTTTCTTGTTGTACTTGAGAGTGTACTGGCTCAGAGATGGCTTGGTCTGGTAAAGGTGGGGCTGAACCCCCAGCTCTCACCCACTACCCAAGGCCCTCTGAGTTGAACCCCTCTAATGATCTCACCTCCAGATCTCCTGCTTCAAAGGACCAGACCTCCTCCTTGGTGTCCACCTGCCACACTTTCAAGAGGCCACTCATGTCCCCTGTGGCCACTAGGGTAGAGTCATGGCTGAAACCAGCACAAGTCACAGAGTCCTTATGGCCTTCAAAAAAAAAGCAGAAAGAGAATGTCAGGGCACCTAGTGCTGGGGGCACATGGCCCAGATATCTGACCTCTTAAAGGACCAGCTGGGAGAAAAAGGGCAGATCCCAGCAGAACTCACTGTGATTGCAGGAACCAACACACCCAGGTCTCTCCATGCAGACACTGCTGGTCCTCCACTCAACCACGTATAGCCCAGGTCTATGTCTTACCCTTCTGTCCTCTGCCTGGAATAGCCACATCCTTCCCTCTTTCCAAATACTCCTACATCAGCCTGTGTCTCCTCTTCTCAAGCCTTTCCCAGACTCCCTTGCCCATTAGTGCCTCCCTCCGCTATGTTCACGACAGAATACTCTATTCTTCTTGGAGTCCTCAGTCTTCTTTGCCAGTCCATAGAGCTGGCAAAATGGGGGTCAATAAATGGCTGTTGGATGCACAACCACTGCAGACTAACTCCCAAAGAGTTCCAAAGGGACACAACTTCACCTGGGCCCCCTCACCTGCACACTCAAAGAGCAGCTCCCCATCGCTGAGCCTCCATACGAAGGCTTTGTCATCTTCACCTCCTGTCACTGCCAAGGTATTGGTCTTGGGGTCCAGGCTCACACAAAACACAGATGCTGTCCCAAGAGATATTTCACAAGTAAGGGGATGGGGCTCCCACCTAGGGTTCTGTCCTCTGGGACCTGCAGGAAGCCCATCCCCTTCTACCCAAAGCAACACATCTTTCCTCCTGGAAAAGAAGGATGCATCCAAGTTCTTTTAAGTTTCAAGCATCAGATTGTTGGAGAAATCCCTCCCCAAGCTTGCCAAGCTCCAAGTCCTTCTCCAGGGTAGATCCCCCTATGGTGCTGCACCCTTTACCACCCCACACTGATGCCATGGACAACAGGAGGGTATATGTGCAGAGCTTACAGCTCTCAGCATGGGATGCCACAGGCTGGGTACAAACAGAGGGAGGAAAACATTGTTTTACTGATTACTGATTAAGAGCTACTATTTGAGGATTATATAAAATATGCCCAGAAAGATACTATAACACATAACTTAAGCTAAAGTAACTTTTTAAAAGAAAACTAAGACCCAGGGAGATTAATAAAAATCATAAATTGGTAAGTAGCAAAGGTAAGACTTGAACAGGTTTCTCAACTGACTCCAGGAGTCAAGCTCTCCTCCGGTCCATCACACTGCCCTCTACCTGTGAGTTCCTCCAGAGCAAGGCCAGCAGTTTCCTCTCTCTGTCCCTCAAAATGCTCAGTACACAGCGAATGTGCCATGCTCAAATGCCTGCCTGGCATGAGTTTATGATGGATCTGCTCAGAGACCTACCTGAATGCAATGCAAAGGTGACCTCGCTATCGTCTGGGCCCTCCATGCTGCCAACCACCCCTTCCTGGGGTTCCAGAACCCAGCCCTCCTCATTGCCCTCTTCCTCTTCCTCCTCTTCCTCAAAGTCCACGTCTTCCATCTCCTGGGCTAGATCATCTGCTTTGGGAAGAGGGTTAAAAAATGGGGCTCAGCAGGCGGTACGAGGGATGAAGACAAGTGTGGGGAGGCCTGGGGCTGGGGTGGGTCATGTGGCAAAAGAGTGAGGTCAGACGAATGAGATGAAGGGGGGGCGAGAAGCGGCATCGAGGAGGCGAATGTGACAGAGGACAGGAGAGGTCTCACTACCTGGGGTTGGCCAGAGACTGTGTGGAAAGGGAGGACCGAGGGGATGATGGGAAGGGGGTGTGTGAGGGGAAGGGCCGGAGGAGACGTCAGGGGAACCCCCACCCCGGCCAGGCCTGAAAACTAAGTGTGGGGGTGGGAGAAGGGGGGAAGGGCGAAGGAAGTCGGTAGGAATGACCGGTAGGGTGTAGAGGGGAGGGGGGAGAAGCTGGGGTCATAGGCCAGGGGTGAGCGCCTCTTGTCCCATGGCCTGAGAACCGGCAATTCTCACCCGGGTCCGGCGGACCGGGATCCAGTTCCACCACCTCGATAATCTCTTCATCACCATGGAAGCTTAGAGTCTCCAGTGGGGGGGTGTCAGCGGCAGCCCCGCTTTCCGATTCGGATTCCATGCGGCGAAAGCAGCAGATCCACTTCTCTGGGCCCAAACGCCTCCCAGAGTCAGCGCTGCGCGACGACGCGGAACTCGGGCCCCTCCTCCCCGGGAGGAAATAGGCGTAAGAGACTCTCCGGAAGGAAGAGCGACGGCCACTTGGCCAATAGGAAAAGGGGTTGACAGCTTAACCACCAATCACAGAGCAGAGTTGGGAAAAGGGAACGGGGCGTGGCGGGAGAACACAAACTCCGCCCGACCTGACTCCGCCCCCGACTGGAGGGAAACAAGCGAGCGGGCGCGCCTCTGGCTCTCCTGGGAAGAGTAGTTTAGCCTGGTCCGCTCCGAGGGCTTTTGGGAGATGTAGTTTCTGATCTGTAGGCGGGACGGAAGGAGCGGGGGAGGCCCCTTACGCAAACTACAATTCCCGACGGGGACCGCGGTGTAGGGGGGTGGGATCTGAACATGGCGGCGGTGGTAGCTGCTACGGCGCTGAAGGGCCGGGGGGCGAGGAATGCCCGCGTCCTCCGGGGTAAGGAGAGGGACCCCGGGGAGGACAGGACTGCAGGGGATCCCACCCCCCTTTTTTTTAACATCCCGCCCGGCGATAGCAGGACGCCAGGGCTGTCGATTCCTGCTCGCATCCTTCTGCAGGATCTTAAAGAGTTTAGGGACTATGAGGTGGTCTCTAGAGGTCACCCAGTCCATCCCTCTGCCGTCGGGTTACACAACACTTCTGGGTCCTTGCTGCGAGAAGGAGTCCCAAGGAAGCCTTTTAGGCTCCCGCGCTCCAGGTGTTTCACACTCACCGCAGTGCAGAGGAAAGAGCCCTGAGCTTCTGGATCCTTGGGTTCTAGCCCCGGATAATTAGCAGTTTGACCTTGGGAGAAGCAGTTCGTCTCTCTGGGCTTCAGTTTCCTCTTCTATAAAACAAGGAGACGGAGTAGACCACCTTTAAGCTCCCTTCCAGGGCTAACATTCTGCGGTTTGAAAACATTTTCGCGGATTGCCTTCATACGTCTCTTGCGAGTCCCACTGCAGTCCTTCCATCCAGTCTTCTGAGGAGATGAAGAACAGTGAGGCTCGCTCTCCTGGCACCAGGGTGATGAGCCCACAGTGACGTGGGGGTGGCTTCCAAAGGTGTCACCTCAATGGCGATTTTCCCATTTCCCTTTGGATTCTCCCTGGCACTTGTTACAACATACTGCAGTCACTTCCCTTCCTCAGGTCTCAACCACTCCTTTCCAGGCTTTCACCTCATCCTCTTACTGACCTTCATATTCTCTCTCCACAGGGATTCTCTCAGGAGCCACAGCTAACAAAGCTTCCCAGAACAGGACCCGGGCACTGCAAAGCCACAGCTCCCCAGAGTGCAAGGAAGAGCCTGAGCCCCTATCTCCTGAGCTGGAATACATTCCCAGAAAGAGGGGCAAGAACCCCATGAAAGCTGTGGGAGTAGCCTGGTGAGTTTTAACTAACCCTTTGCCCACTGATAGGGAGTGGCACCGGGGGAGGGCGGAACCCAGAAACTTCTTCAGGTGGTAAGCTGAATCCAGGATTGTGGGGACAGAATTGCTGGGTACAAGGACTGGAATTGGAATCTCAGAGGAATGGAGCAGGGGATGGGGAGAAGTATGTGGAATTGGAGAGGCAGTGAGTTTTCTCTGGAGTAAGCTGAGCTAATCTGATTTGTATTTGGTTCCCTGGCCTCATCTTCTTTTGGGAACTTGGGGTGAGACCCAATTGAGGTTTCACCTAGGTGTTTAGTACATTGTTATTCAGATTTGACTTTGACCTTAATACATATTATTGTTCAATATTAAAGGAAAAGGAGGGGAAAATTACTTTTTTTTTAAAGGTAACTTAGCAGAACTAAATCTTTTTTTTTTTTAAGATTTTTTGAGAAAGCCTGGCTCAGTGATTGAGCATTGACCTATGATCCACGAGATGGTGGTTCCATTCCTGGTCAGAGCACATGCCCGGATTTCGGGCTCCATCCCCAGTAGGGGGCGTGCAAGAGGCAGCCAATCAATGACTCTCACCATTGATGTTTCTCTCTCTCTCCCTCTCCCTTCCTCTCTCTGAAATCAATAAAGACATATTAAAAATAAAAATAAAAAGATTTTTTGAGAAAGAGGAAGGGAGAGGGAGAAACATCGATGTGCGGAAGCAAGCCTGCAGCCTGGGTATGTGCCCTGACTGGGAATCGAACCACCAAATTTTCGGTGCATGGGACGACACCCAACCAACCGAGCAACACCAGCCAGGGTGGAAAATTCCCATTTTTTTCAGCACCTTAGGTGTTCCAGGACTTTACAGTGTAAGGTTTTAGTATTTGTGATAAGTATTACATCCCCATTTCACAGATGAGAGAACAGGTTCAGAGCTGGGATTCTTACCAGGTCTTGTGACTCCATGCCTTTCCCCCATACCAAGGTGTTCCCAAGCAGCAGTTACTCAGATTATGAAGGGGAATCTGGGAGAGGGCGTGGGGCAGTTTGGGCAAGGGAAACTTTGCCAAGACTTGAAGAGGGAAAAGGGACGGGCCTTCTGGAGAATCATGCACAGGCTGTCTCGCAGGATTGCAGGGCTTGTGTTGAGAGGTGTCAGGCTACAGGGGAAAGGAATGTCAAGATTGGCAGAGACCCCACTACAGTGGGCCTTTTGTGCCATGCCTAGGCATTTGGACTTGGCAGGGAAGTGATGGAGAGCTGTTAAGAGATTTTAAGCAGGGTAGGTAGTGGCAGAATCTGATATGTGTAGGGCCCTCCAGCAGCCAGTAAGGAGGCTAAATAGACACTTGAGGTATTGCAGTGTTCATGAAATCAATGAAGCTGGAATGAGATTCCCCCCAGCTCCTCTGGCTCAGGTGTGGCCCCTCCCCAAACCCCATGCACATCTCCCCACCCCTAGGGCCATCGGCTTCCCCTGTGGTATCCTCCTCTTCATCCTCACCAAGCGGGAAGTGGACAAGAACCGTTTGAAGCAGATGAAGGCTCGGCAGAACATGCGGGCATCCAACACGGGCGAGTATGAGAGCCAGAGGTTTAGGGCCTCCTCGCAGCATGCCCAGTCTCCTGAAGCTGGGTCCAGGGTGCAGACCTGAGGAACACTGCAGCCCTCCCCTAGACTGCATTGACTGTGGCCTCCAGACTGCGAAGTCCTTTGAGTTTGGCTGCAATTCTGGTCCTTGCCTCTAAGGTCCACGAGAGGGCGCGTGAAGCCCAGGCTGCTACCAGCCCTCATCCCTCCTGTCCTTCCCTCCCTGAGAAGCCAGCCAAAGGCAAATAAAGTTATTGAGTGTTTGAGTGGAAAGGAACTGGGACTGGATTTTTTAGTCCCTTGGGATGGGAGGGGCAGAGGGCGGGGTTGGTTACTCATGAGCTGTCTCACAGAAGCATTCAGTGTTTCCCACTTAATGGTTGGGGAAACCACTGAGACTTGAGCAACAAGCCTAGGCACAGGCCCTGGGGACCAAGCCCTCAGAGCTGCTGGCCAGGAGGGTGGGGACTTTCTCAGCTTTGAACAAATGAAAAAACAAAGAGGGCATCGAGGGTGTGAAAGAAAAAACCCCACTACTCCTCAATGGCTCAACCTCTCTGGGCCTGTTACCTTAAGAGGTTTTGGACTAGTGATTTCTAAGGCAGGGGTCCTAAACCTGAACCTGCAGTCCATTTCCATCTCCCTCACCCCAACTTTTAAATTGTGTGTACACATACAGCTTTGTGGGGAAGAGAGTTCATAGCTCTCGTGAGCTTTTGTAAAGGGTCATGTGCTCTGAGTGGTCCCTGCCAGACCCAGTAATGCATGTCGAGCTTTCACCAGCCTGTTGTATCCATCACCAGGAAGTGCTGGGGTAAGGTGTATTTAATTATCTTAGAAAAGGTGAAGGTAGCAAGCCAAAATGCAAAGGTAGGCAGTGGATGCTTTGGGCAGAGCCAAAAGTGAAGAATACCAGAGCCAAATGGGGTTTTAGCTTCTAAACGTAAAACTTTATTACATTTCTAGTTATGTCCTTTTATGTGATATACTTAGGACCAAGGACTTAATAGAGAAGTCCTACTTATACCCTTGAGCTGATTTGGTTTCCACCCCACCCGATAGTGACCCTCGTCCCCCTTCCCCATTCCAGCTTGAGGCACTTGGTGTCATGAAGCAGTAGCTGGCTAGAGAGATGAGGTCCAAGTCTAAAATCCCCCAGTGAGAGTTAAGAAGAGAAGGGAAGTCTTCTCAGGGCCTTCCCCAGGTTAGCAGAAGGAAAGAACAATATTTGTCAGACTAGGTGGGGTACCCCAAGGCATTTTCCATGCCCCCAACTCAGTCTCTTCATCCTGGTCACTTCCTAGCCACACTTATGATCTTACAAACCACCCCATCTCCTGACCTTTGCCCTCACTTTCTGACTTGAGCGGCCTGACCATGGAAAGCAAGAGATCCCTCTGATCAGAGATCTCAGAAGCACCAGGGAGGCCCCCCCAGGCAGCTTTGGAGAATGGGGACCAGATGGCTGCAATGGACCTGCTCTCTGTCACCACCACAGCCATGAGGAAGCCCAGGGTAGATGCTGCTCTGTGTTGGCCCCTGCACTTGACTTTGCTCTCCTCTTCCTCCCTCCCCAACCCAGATAAACAGTATATACATGCCATTAACGGAGGAGCTGAAGCAGGGGGACCCACAGGCACAGGTCTCTTATACCTCCCTGAGCTGGGAAGTAACAAGGTTTGCCAAAGGAATACAGAATAATGGCCTAAGCGTCCAGCAGGCTGGGGACAAAGCTCGTTGGCTCTGTTAGGGGTTGAGGGAGGAAACAGCTCCAGCTATGTAGCCCAGAAGCCTGTGGCAAAGGTGGGATGGGAAACCTCATCCCCTTGAAGTCACTTCTACCTCCATATTCCCTTTTAGTCACAGAACAGGCTCTTTTCACCACTGCCCCCTCCGACCCCAGCAGTTAGGGTGAATTTGGTGCCACATAGTAGTTGGAGGGAGAAGGCACATCTTCAGCCTGGTCCCCGCCAAGTCCATCAAGGGCAAGAGTTAGTCCCCAGTTCCTCCAGCCCCATCAGTTGGTACCCACACAGCCACAGCCAGAGGGGCCACCCACTCCGGACAAAGAAGGAAACTGGGCATATCACTTGAGAAGGAAAGGGATCTGTGGCCCAGACCCTGGTCACAGGGCCCAGCCCTCTAAAGATGGGAGCACCCAGGGTAGAGCGAGCAGAACTGGGGTGCTCTTTAATCACGACTCCCCACCAACTGCAGCACAAAGGTGAAGATGTAGATGATGTCCGTGTAGATCTGCAGAGCACCAGTGATGTAGTCCTCTGGGCTGATGGTGTGCTTCCGGTTCCCCAGGACCAGCTGCGTGTCATAAGCCAGGAACTGCAGGGACAGGCATGAGTGAGGACCCAGGGGTACAGTGCCAGAACTCATTTCTGGTCTGCAGATCTGTCCCTCCCAGGAACCTCCACGCCATGCAGTGTGCTTAGGGGACACACTAATGAACGACACAACACACTGTCTCTACCCTTAAGCAGTTAACAGTCTAGAAAGTACAATATTCCTCCTGAGTGTTCTACAGCAAGCAGTGTGATCAAGAGGGTGGGAGTGCCCAGAAAATCAGCGGAACCTCTTGACAGCAGGGAGAGTGAAGGGTAGTTTTAGCCATATTCCCTGCCTCCCAAGCAGCCTAAATTCATGCTCCATCTGCTCAGTTCCTGTCCCCTCAGCTCCCCTTTCTAGAGGAGGCAGGGTTTACTCACCAAGGTGAAGCAAATGGCCCCCAGAGCAGCATAGACCATATGAAGCCAGTAAATCTGGGGAGAGGGAACAGGAGTGGTGTTAGAAATCTTAGCAAAGCATGGACCAAGCTGGGCTTTTAGGACCAGCTTCACCTGGGATTCTGGCATCCAAGTGGATACATCCAGAAAGCCACCTACGTAAAAGGACTACCTCTGCCTTCCAGATCCTGGAAGAAATTAAGAATGGTAATAGATTTGGCAGAGAAAACAGCCCATTCTCCAATGGCCATGTAAAAACCAATCTCCAAAGTGAGTTAAGGTACAGAAGTGTCCATTATATTTCTGGAAAAAAGAAGGTGGTTGGATTGCAGCTCTGGGAGGGGTGAACTCAGGCATGCACTGGTCAGTGAGCCCCATCACCTTCTTCCAGCCACAGTCAACCTTCAGGAGTGATTCTTCCAGCCCAGTCTGGGAGGGACAGACTAAAGAAGAGGGCTGGGAGGGAAGCACCCAACCACCTAGATGAACATCGGAGTTAGAGAGTACCCCCAGGGCAGCCCTGCTCAACAGCCTCCCAGGTGTCTGTCTACTGAAGGGCAGAGCAGCAGAGCAGCCCTCCTGTTCACATGCTTCTCCTTCCAGCACTGTTCTCCCCTCTCTGCCATGAGGCTCCCCTCAGCCTAGAGGCCTCATGCTCTCCCCAGGCTGACTGGAATGAGAGAGGAGTTGGATTTAGTGATCCCGAAGGATCATTCCACCCCAGCCCATCTTCTTGATCCTTTGGGTTCCTTTCCCAGTCTGCCTCCTAGAGAACCTGGTCTCAGCTGTCAGACAGATCTCGCCCACTACTTCCCATAGGAATTCTGTGATGCTGTCCAAGGCCTCAGGTGCTATGGCACCCAGGGCTGCCTGTTGCTGAAGAGGAAGTAACTATACCTAGCCAAAGGGCTTCAGCAGTGGTACCTCTGCCACCCAGCCAGGTTCTGGAGGCCAGAGGCCTGTGGGGCCTGCTGCACTCGTTCTACAGAAAGTCCTCCCTGAGCACTGGCTTCGCTGACCCCAGCTCTCCCAAGACACTCACATATTTGAAGGACAGCACAATGGCAGTGACAATCCCAGTCACCATCATGACAATTCCCAGAACACAGAAGAGGCCTGTGCACGAGGTGAAGTCCACCTGCCAGGGAGGAAGAGCGAGGCTCCTGTCAGACGAGTGTCACAACCAGCAGCCCAGCCAGGCTGGCCCTGCCTCCCCCACCAGAGTCCCAGTGCTGCCTCCTGGGGGGCATGGGAGTGACAGTGACATTCTAAGGACAGACATAGGAAGCAGTTTTATAGATATAGTAACTAGGAAGGAAAGGGGATTAGGGTCTCTAAGGGAATCCCCAGTGTAGGGCTCTGGGCCCACCCACGCCTACTCAAATGCCAAGCTTTAAGGGCCAGCTCTGCACAAGAAAGGGGGGTGGAGTGGCCAGGGAAGGGCCCCTTATACCCTCACCTTGGTCTGGAAGCAGAAGATGGTGACTGAAATGGACACCACAGCAGTGATGATCATGGCAATGATGACAGCTTTGGTTTGATACATACTGAAGGGAAGGAGATGAGAGAGGCCAGAGGCATAAGCCACATATGACTGACTTCAAAGCCACCATTTCCAGAAGGACCCTGCCCAGAATCCTCCGTGCAGATGACTCCCAGCCCAGGGATGCCCACTCCCCCATACCACTTTCCAAGAGCACAGTGGTTTGTCCCTGAATGTACCTGGAAATGGTGCCAGTCATGAAGCCCAGGGCAAGAGTCTGAGGGAAGGAGGGAGACAAGAGTGAAACACTTAAGAAGAGAGTGTTTGAAGGACTCCATGGTGGAGTGTCAGAGCTGGGGGTAAATGTGACTGAGGAGACAGGAATCGTCAGGGTAAGGTGGCGGAAAGAACCAGGGACACCTTCCACAGTGGCATCCCCATCCCTCCCCTGGGACTACCCTCCCTCACACCATCTCCATATACCCCCTCCACCCTTCTAGACTTACAAAGAGGGTCAGCAAGATGATGTTCCATGGGAATCGGCGTCTGAAGGGAAAGAAACCATGAGTAAGTGACAGGGCCAGACAGGAATCAGTCTTTAGCAGAAGGAAGTTTTTGGCCCAGGTGCCTAGAGAATTAGGCCTTGGCCTGGGGGAGGGGAGGCTGCCTCAGCCTTTGGTACCTGCTCAGGTGTTCTATGCAGGGACAACACAGGGCAATGGGACAGACCTAGCCTGTGGGGCCACGAAGACCTGGATTCATTTGCAGTTTTTACGCTATCTGTGACTGTGAGAAAGTTACTCAGCTTCTCTGAGCCTTGGGTTCTTCCTATTTGTTCAATGGTTAAAACGTTATGTATCTTGCAGGGTTGCTGTAAGAATAAGAATAACGGGCTACATAGCTAAATAGATAGGCAAGGTACTTTGTTGTAGGCTTTTTTTCAAATTATAAGAGAAAGTTTATTTAGAAAGTTACATAGGTAGCAGAAGTGAGCCACCTGGGCTGCACAGGCTCACAAAACTAGTTACAGAAGCAAAAGGGCCCTTGGAGCTTAGGAGAGACAAAGGCAAAGGTAAGGCGCCTGGGGGAAGAAAAGGGGCAGGGAAAGGCGCCGGTACCAGGCAAGCGACTTTGTACACACCTGAAGGTAGCTATCATCCTCATTCCTGCTAGCAAGTCTCTATTCCAGCTGCTATAAGGAATCCCCTTCCTTCCCCAAATACTTGGCCCCACTCCTGCCCCTGGCATCCCTTCTCATTGCCTGAGTCTCTGGGACTCACCTGGGTCCCTGGCAGCAGGCAAGGGTCAGGTAGGTGACCAGGAAGACAGCACTGGAGAGAAAGAGACAGAAAGTGGTCCACAGGCCTGACCTGCTCCTCAGCTCCTCCTGACCCGTCCTAGCAACACCCACCAGGCCAGCAGGCTGGAGGCCCACAGAGCTGTTGGCAGTCTGAGAAGAAGCTACTTAGTAGGACAAGATCACCCCAGCCAAGGGCACTGAAAACCTCTGTAACGGGGGGGGGTCTGGCTAAAAAGAGGGTGAAAGAGGCCATAGCAGACAGGCTAACAACATGGGGACCATTTTGCTGCATGAGTGTCGCCACCAGTTCCCCACCCCTGCTCTCAGGAATTCCGTGCTGCAGCTACTACTCACTGGGTGGCCTACACCCACACTTCCCAGCAGAGGTGGCAACCATAGGACCCCTCTCCAAAAGTATTTGGGTCCCTGCCCTGAGAAAAACCAGACAATTGTCACCCCTCCTCCCCTTGCCCCGAGCAGAGAGGAGAGCAGACTCACTAGGATACATAGTAGACGGCCACATTTCTCCTCACAAACTCGCCAACAGGCTTCCTGTGGGGCAGGAGAGGGCAAGAGAGAAGTCACAGCCATGTCCTCTAATCACAATATCCAGCTCGTCTTCCAGCCCATCTGAGTAAAGGGCCCACCCCACCCCACCCCACTCCTGGCAGGTGCCTGAGAGCAGGCCCAGGACCCCAGAGCTCATAAGAGGGGCGGAGAGGCCTAGACACTTACACAAAGGTGAAGATAGCGATGATGGCCACTGTGATCAGCAGCTGGACGGAGATGATGCTGTAAACCTGCAACACAGGCGGTCACTATCCCACATCCCTGGCCTCTCCCCAGGAAGTAGCCAGCCTCCCAGACCACAGAGCCCAAAAGACTCGTCCTCCCTTGTCTGTTGGTGGGAAGGGCCTCCTTCTTAATTTCCACTCGAGAACCCTCCCTAGCTGCAGCCAGGTGGAGAGGATGGCTCAGGTATTATATACACCTCAGAGCTGACCTCCACCTCCAGCTGCTCCTTGACACCCCCATCCCTGTCTGACATCCAGCCTCAGTTTACTGCTTCCCTCCCCTGCTTCACTGCATGACCAGGCGTGGCCTCCGCAGTGGCAGCAGTTCAGGCTGACATTGTCAGGGGTCCACCTACTCTGAGCAGAGTGCCGTGCAGGCGTGAGATGGGGAAGGGAGGGGTGGGCTACGATCCTTTTTTGCTTCGAGTTGCTTATAGTCAAACAGGAGGAAGAAATTTGGGGACGGCAGAACACTGCAGAACCCGCTGAGATTTCCCCAGATTGAATCTGCCCCTGACCACAAAACAAGGTCACGGAAACAGGAGCAAAAGGTTGGGGAACAGAGGTCAGAAGAGTGCAGGGCTAGAGAGAACCTGGACGGCAGCAGCTATTTCCATGGAATGAGTGCCACAGGGCTAACTGTGCCTCCACACCAACCTTCCCATTCCCACAGCCTAAGGGACCTAGGTACACCTGCCTCCTAGGCCACATCTCACCTTTCGAATGAAGGTGTGTCGGACTTTCATGTCGTCCCACTCTCCAGCGCCGAAGCTGTCACTCACTGCTCTCTCCTCGGCATCATAGCCTGGGCCTGGGGACAGATCACATATGACCAACTGGAACATGTGGCCTCAATCCCAAAGCCTCCATGACAATTTCTCAAGAGTTTCAGGTATCTCTAGCCAAAAACCAAGTGTTATAACTTGAACTCCTCGCCCAAGCCAGGTCCTCTAGATGCCGACAGAGTGAGCCAGAGCTGGCCTGAGCACCATATGGAGCCATGTGCCCCTGTCACGAAGGCCTTAGGTTAGAACCATTCCATCAGCATGCATTCACTGAGGGCTCCTGGGCAAGGATGCCCAGCCCACATCTGCATGCTCTGGTGTATGAACACATGTGGTTGCAGGCACATGGTCTAGAGCATCAGCCAGAGGAGCTGAGGGGTCAGAGCAGGGGACTCAGAAGGAGGAAAAGGAAGGTAGAAACATAGCACGTGTGTGGAGGGTGAAAAGTATGTAGACAGTGATCTACGTCTGGCCAACATTAGGACTCAGAGAAAACAGATATGTCAGGGGTACATGTTCACAGACAAGGCAGGACTGGAAACGTGGCTAACGCACTGACATTCGCACAGAGCAGATGAGCATGGCCAGATGAACCTTGGCTGTGCTCCAGGCCTCCAGAGATGCTGCAGGGCCTCTAGCATTCCTGGAATGCCTTGAATGCCTCCCCAGGACTGCTTTCAAAGTCCGTGTGTGGGCTGCTTAGGAAAAGTCACTGCCTTCTCATCTTATCTCATCTCAACCAAACACAGCATTTACTTGCCATGGCAGTTACCAAACATCCAAATGACCTCTGGATGTTTGCAAAAATCAGATATTACCATAAAGGACAAGGAAATGTCAGCACCAAATTTTACAAAAAAAGTGCCCCAGGTTCCAAAGGGAGAGAGGAATTGGTGGGGTGGCAGCTGCCTCGTTAGGAATGGCCTCATAAGGTAGCAGCTATGAAGTAGTTGTTTCACTCGACCACTTTCTCATGTGATGTGTAACTCCCGGTGTGTTTTATGAACTCAGTCTCCCTGCTGAATAAAGGGGCTAACAGGTGGTCCAGGGGAGCTCGGTGCTGAGTAGGGAGGTAACAAAGGTAGGAAATGGAGAGATGAAAAAACGGATGAACAGGGAGTTGAAAAGGAAGGAAAGAGGCGGCCTCAGGTGCTGTAAATTCTCCTCCTCCCACCCACCCCCAGCCACCCTTCAGGGACTCACCGTAGTTCATAGGCATCGGGTGGATGGGGGGCATAGGTTGTGGATAGCCAGCAGGGTGACCATAGCCAGGCTGTGGGTAGGCAGGGTAGGCAGGGTACCCGCCCGGCAGGACAGAAGGCTGCCCATAGCCCCCCTGGGGCGGAGGGTACAGGGGGTTGCGGTCCTCATATGGAGGGGGTGCACTGGGGTTGGACATGGCTGCTCAAGGGCTGAGGGGAGACCCCAGCTTCTCGGACCTGAAATGGGAGACAAGAAAAGCAGTCATGAGTACTCAGGCCTTAGATCACTCCACCCCAGTCCAGCTGGCCTCCGTGGAAGGACACCCTGATAATTTTTCTCAATCATGGGGTGTCATTCTCTGCCCACACCCATCCTCCCCACCGCCACAGTGCCCCTGGCCCACTAGCTCAGCCCCTGCCCCTCACCTTCACACCAGCTTTCTGCTCACAGCCCTCCTCCCTGAGCAGCCTTCTACCATGGGAAGTGGGGGGGGG